CATTATGGATTAGTGGAGGGGAGGCGACTGTAAATCCCCACTCTTGTGCTGATCTGGATTTAAACGCTGGACAGATAAATTGTCATTTGAAGATAGTAGCAGGCGAGCCGGGACAATGGATACAAACATGCGCAAATTTACGGTGAGAAGATGGTTTTCCGTGTACCTGCGCGGAAAGTCGCGGTCCAAAAGCTCGAGTTTATGCAAACTAGAGGTGGGTATCACTTCATTTGTTTCGCTTACCAACCTGTGTGTCTTATTTCTTGAATTAAATCTGTGGAGTGCCTGTAAACCGTGTCGAAATCTGACCGTTGCTGTGTAAAGTGCTGAAGTGCGAAATGTGAAAGCGCAACGGCGAATATGTCAGTGTTCAGCGTTGCTCGGATTTATGAACAAAGCTTGCATTTGGTTATTTACATCAAATATGCGTTGTGTGTTCGATTAGATTTCTCACAGGCTTTGATTTGAAATAGCCTGAACTAGTCAGAAGAGCATAGGCTGTAGGAATGTGTAGCCTGCGGGATTCCTCACAATTTGGAACACATCCTTTTTTAAATATTAAAAGAGTTGCTGATGTCCTACGTGAACAGTTTATGGCTTTTTACTGTATATAGCTTTTGGGACCCTAATAGTTTGATTGGACTTGAAACTGACATTGTAAAAAAGTGTAAACAGCAAAAATTCTATCCAAAAACAAGCATGTAATTTTATTTTACAATATTGTTGAAATATTTGTATAGGTAAAAAGATGATTTGTCACCTCAATGTACTGATAAAGCTGTATTTCCCTGCACATAAACCATCGCATTTGTTTATGTTGTATAGTTAAAAAAAGTATTTTTGAAAATTGTTATTATCAGGTAGATTCAGAGTTATATATGGTGTATAATTCTGATGGTGTTTCTTCGTCTCTGTGTGGGCAAAATTATGCAAAATTAGAGAACATTTCCCTTGGTATATTTTATTTATTTATTTTTTTTAAGAATAATTAACCTCAAGATTGAACTACTTTTAAAAACTGTATTGCTTATTATACAATTTTAGAACAACTGCAATATGATTCTCATCGGAGGCAGTACACACCAGCCTCAGCAGAAGCAGTAAACGTGTCCTGGTTAGATTTCTAACAGCTGTGGATCCTTCCGGTGTTGTTTTTGCTGAACACTCAAATGTCTGCTGGCAACAATGATCAAAACTGACATACCTGTCTCTCAGTATTAATAGTTAAGGCCTCAGAAGAGTTGCATTCTCTGAAGCATCTGCGCCCTTGCCCTGATGTCCA